ATCCATCCATCTATTAACTTATCCATCCATCCATCCATCCATCTATTCATTTATCCATCCATCCATTTATCCATCAATCTATTCATTTATCCATCCATCCATTTATCCATCCATCAATCTATTCATTTATCTATCCATCCATCCATCCATCCATCAAGCAGCACATTCTAGAAGGAATGAAAAATGTTAACATCTGTAAACTTTGGTGATCCTCTTATTTAGAAGTTTTTTATGTTTTTACTCTGAAGTTTTTATCCTGATGAGTAAAATATTTGCATCAAACATCTGAAGAATGGAGATCAGAGACACGAGGGTCTGAGCTGGCCTGGCCCGTGTACATTCATCCACACATTCTCTTATCAGGACCACACCGCCTCCTCAGGCCCTCGCCTAGAGAGAGAGAGAGAGAGAGAAAACCAGGAGATCCTTCCCAGAGCTGCTCAGACACTCCGGAGCGATCCGAGCTAAAAGAGTCAGACGGGATTTTTAAATAAAAGCAGAATTCCAGATTGAAACCCTGATTCCTGAATGCTCCCTGCCTCTGACTAACACACATCACTAACAGAGCAGGCCACGCTCCTGATTATCAGAACATCCGTCCTCCAAATGGACCTGATAATAAAGTTCTAGGAGCTTCGGTCGGTGAATCATTTGTTGGAGAAGAATGCTTTTCCAAGAAGATTTTTTTGAGGATGTCTACGGCTTTCCGGGGAGCGGGCCAGTAATGGACTCTAATGCAGCAAAGGAAATGATCCACTCATGTCCAATAACTACCTACGAGGCTCCGATCAATAGCAGGTCCCCAGGGCTCGAAGGGAGACCGGGTTCAAGCTGAGAGCAGGAGTGGAGATTCGGGATGACTAACAGAGACCAGCCCAGTTTTTGAGACTTGCCTTTGGCCCACTTAACACTCGATCAGCTGTTTACTCCAATAGGATTTACTTCTAATGCCTGGACGTCCGTCACGGTCCGGTCCACTTAGACACCACCAACACCTGCCTTGTTACAGTGGATCAGAGTCAAGGGCTGGTAACGGTTTCTGGTTCTAGGTTCTGGTTCTGACTAGATAAATGAATAATAAAACACTAATTTGATTATTGAAATCAACATTCAGATTCTAGAAGTAAATACCTCGACATGGAGGATATGTTATGCTAGCATGAGTCAGCACTTTGATGACAAGTTCACAGACCTGGAAAATTATCCGACTTTTGAAATGCTGCTCAGAAAAGGTGCACTTAAGAAATATCTCCAAACTGCGAAGGTTGGTGTGAAAACATGAACTTGAAATGGTTCTCCACGCCTTTATCTCCTCCCGTCTAGATTACTGTAACACACTCTTCACACGTTTTAACAAAAAAGCCCTTGACTGCCTTCAGTGCACGGCTGCTTCATCCAGAGCAGGAATGCCCAGTCCTGGTCCTGGGGGGCCGGTTTTAGTGGTTTCCCTGCTCCAACACACCTGGTTCCAATCAGCAGGTGATTAACAGGCATCTGCAGCTCCTGGTGAGCTTCTGAACAGGTGGTGAATCAAGCGTGTCAGAGCAGAGAAACTACTAAAACATGCTGGATACCGGCCCTCCAGAACCAGGATGTAGAACCCCTGTTCTAGTGGCATGTCTGCTGATGAAGAACGTGTCAATCACTCACTCACTCTCACTCTCACACACACACACGCACACACGCACACACACACACACACACACACACACACACACACACACACACACACACACACACACACGGTGAAGAAGCAAAACTCCGAAGTTAACCCCTGTTTAAAGTTCAACCTTCAGGCCGATTGGACAATCAGTGGGGGGGGGCGGAGCTTACCAGAGAGGAATCTGTTCTTACAGACACTGGATGTAATTATTTGTTTTTAGATGTTGTGAACAGTTAAATGTTGTAAAACACGTATTTTATTAGATGTTTATGAGGTCCGACTCATCTGAAACACTCAGATAGTCACAGATCTCAGGATTTAACTCAGTAAACCGACTTCAAACTATCCAACTGGATTACTCTAGAAGTTTTTCTCATTTTCAAAACTGGGATTAAATAAACAGACTAGAATATGAATAAATGGTTAGCATTTCAGCATCATCTTGGTTACAAAAACACTTTATAAAATATCTAAAACTGATTCAGCATGTTTATTATAACATTAATACAAATGGGTTGAATGTTTGCCGGCACCTAACGATACGGCTCAAACAACTGCCATCCTTTTGATGAATCACATCTTCTCCCGGTTCGGTCTCCCCGAACGTGTTAACTCAGATAGGGGAACTCACTTCACCTCAGGAGTGATGATCTTTGGCGGATGTTGGGTGTCAAGGCCAATTTCCACATTGGTTACCAGCCCCAGTCATCCGGCCAGGTGGAAAGGATGAACCGGAATGTTGTCAGCATTTTAAGGAAATACGTGTCCTCTAGTCACAGAGACTGGGATGTGAAGCTTCCGTTGGCCCTTATGGTCATACGGGCCACTCCTCATGAGTCTACAGATGTCTCCCCGTTTGAAATGATGACGGGTAGACTAATGACCCTGCCGCTTCACCTGCTGTATGTCAGTTCAGCCCAGTGACGCTCCGGCTTACACTAGCGAGCAGTATTTGCAGGACCTGAAAAACCATCTGCCTGCAGCGTTTTCTTTTGCACAGACCAATCTGGAGAAATCAGCTGAGGGCAGGAAGGCTTATTATATTGCTCTTAAGCAATGTATTTAATCCAATTTACCCTCTATTGACTTCATTACACCTGTATTTGATATAGCACCATCTAGGATCATGGAAACCCCCCAAAGCTCTTTACAACACAATCATTCACCCAGTCACACCCCGGAGGTGATGAGCTACGATGTAGCCACAGCTGCCCGAGCGCTGACAGAGGCGAGGCTGCTGAACACAGGCTCCACGGGTCCCTCCGACCTCCACCAGCAGGCTAGTTGGTTTAGTGCCTTGCCCAAGAACACGACAGCGACAGACTGAGAATGGCTCGAACCTACAACCTTCTGATTACAGGGCGAGCACTTAGCTCCTGTGCCACCGTCGACCCAACATAAATAATAATCAGGTTGTAAAATAATGTTTCTGAACTTTTTAGTTTTCAATAAAATTATTAATGTCCATCCATCCATTTTCATCCGCTTATCGGGAGTCGGGTCACGGGGGCAGCAGCCTGAGGCGAGAGGCCCAGACTTCCCTCTCCCCAGCCACTTGGGCCAGCTCCTCCGGGGGAATCCCAAGGCGTTCCCTGGCCAGGTGAGAGACATAGTCCCTCCACCATGTCCTGGGTCTACCTTTAGGTCTCCTCCCGGTTGGACGTGCCCGGAAAACCTCACCAGGGAGGCGTCTAGGAGAAAACTTATTTCGGCCGCTTGTATCCGCGATCTCGTTCTTTCGGTCACTACCCAAAGCTCATGACCATAGGTGAGGGTAGGAACGTAGATCGACCGGTAAATCGAGAGCTTCACCTTCTGACTCGGCTCTCTCTTCACCACGACAGACCGGTAGAACGCCCGCATCACTGCAGATGCAGCACCAATCCGCCTATCGATCTCACGCTCCAGCTTTCCCTCACTCGTGAACAAGACCCCGAGATACTTAAACTCCTCCACTTGGGGCAGGACCTCATCCCTGACCCGGAGAAGGCATTCTACCCTTTTCCGAATCAAGACCATGGTCTCAGATTTAGAGCGGCTGATTCTCATCCCAGCTGCTTCACACTCGGCTGCGAACCGCTCCAGCGAAAGCTGAAGATCACGTTCTGATGAAGCCAACAGGACCACATCATCTGCAAAAAGCAGAAACCTGATCCTCAGGCCACCAACAGATGCCCTCCACACCTTGGCTGCGCCTAGAAATTCTGTCCATAAAGGTTATGAACAGAATCGGTGACAAAGGGCAGCCTTGGCTTAATTAATGTTTCATTGGAAAATAAAATAAAAAAATAAATTCATTTAGCAAAAACTGATTCTTATCAAATTAAAGCAAAGGCGTCAAAGGGGCGGGGCTTGTGTGAAAACATTTCAATCAGAGCCACTAAAACATAATCTGAACAGTACTATTAACAATTTATCCAAATATTCTGGTTATGAACAGAACCTCAGACGGCGCCGATCAGACCGTTTCCAGGATAAATTTAGCTTTCAGCATCAAACGAAGCAGTGAAAGCTGTGATGAACCTTTAAGAATGAATGAATGAGTCATTAACTCCATCCATCAGCCTCACCTCCTCCCAGCCTGATCACTTAGTTACACCCCCCCCCCCCCCCCCCCCTCCCCCGCTGGCCGTTGGCGTGTCTGCAGCCCCTCCCTGGCTCTTTTCCTGTCCTGCAGAACCGGCAGAGTGCCCCAAGCCTCTGAAACCATCTCGCCGCAAACATGCTTTCATCCTGCAGGAGGAAGTGGAAAGGCTGCTGAAGCACCACAAACAAGCTGGCTCATTAACGGGTCAGCATCCTGCTGCCGATGACATCATCTGGACCGGGACCAGAGCCGTTCACTGATCTAGGAGGTGGGGACAGGACGAGCTGAGAAGACACCGGACTTTATTAAATCTGAAGGTTTAGGATTTAAGCTGGGAGTTGGAGCTGAAAATTAATTCAAATCAAATCTAAATTAATCAGAATAAACTGATGTCTTTACAAGAGAATAAAAACTGATTTAACTTGAATTAAAGTCTAAAACTAGGAATTTTGAATCAAACCGACTTCCAAATCCGGGGCTCTCCCAGCAAATTTAATCCAAACACATCTAAGGTGACTTTTCCAGAATATTCCAGCATCCGCGAGTTTAAATCTGCTGGATTAGATTAGATTTGTGGGCGAGCGTAGTCGTGACATCAGAGGACGTCGCTCCAGGAAGTTTCAGACAGGAAAACCCGGATTCGTGTCACTCAGTGAGAAGCCGATTTGGAACGCCGTCTCTGAGCTGGGAGTCGGCGGCGGGTTTGATGATTTCCCGAGTTTAACGAAACGAATAAAAAAAGACATGAAATAAAGATGGATCTTGTTTATTTAGCAGCAGATTCAGCAGTCCGTTATAATACAGTTTACGGCAATGTCAGATTAAAAATAACAAACCTGGAAAATTACCAAGATTCATGTTTTTTTGTAGGAAAACGAAACAGAACTAAACATTTAACAGATGAAACAAAGTGTTTCCTGGTTTATCTTGTTTCGTATTTAAAAGGATTTTAATCCCTTAAATCCAGATGGTATTTTAAATTTTCCACTTTAATCTAAAGATTTTTTGCTTTTAAAAGTTGTGGTTTCATAATTTCAGTAAACATCCGTTTATTCCTGTTAGTTTTAATCTGTAGCTTCTTACTGAGGTTTTATTTAACTTCCCATCATGAAAACCACTTTTTGAAGCATCACAGAAAATATAGTTTCTTGTAAATCTAAAATAATCTCTAAATGTTCCTCCTCGTCTTGGTTTTATACCAGCCCAACATGTCTCCGCATCTCCATTTTTATTAACAGTCTGGAACTTGGATTAAATTCCAGATGTGTTGACCTGTTTAAACACAAGACAGATTATATGCGAAAGAGATTTTTCATCGCTTTTGCGCTCATCTGGAGAGGTTCGGAGCCACCAACCCTCCCGACCCGACGGGCCCGGGTTTAGAACATGACCTGGACCCTGAAGTGCTTCTGCTTGGTGGCGTTGTTGCTCATGCCCACCTTCAGCATCCACTTGGACTTCATCCTCTGGACGTACTGCATGTCCTTCTGCCTCTGCTGCAAAGAGCCGACACCTGGGGGGGATTAGGGGGTGTTCAGCAGCACAAAGGCAAAACAACCGTATTCTGACTTCATTCGATCAGATAAACCAGTCGAAACCAGGAGCAGGATGTGTTTGGGAGGTGGGGTCGGTATATCTGAGTGATGTAGGGTTTTACCTCCATCGCCCCCCCAGCCCAGAGCTCTGTACTGCCGGAGGACTCTGCCGACGGCGTTCCTGTTGTGGCTCAGAGCGACGGCTCGCTGCGTCCCAAACCGCTGTTTGTAGTATCTGATGAGGGAGCGGTGGCCAATTTTTGCTCCTGAAACAAACAGGAAGCTGCTGAAGTTCCACTCAGAGCCTAGAACTCAACAGCTGATTGGGTCATCTCCACACAACAACAGAAACAGGAAGGGGGGTCACCTGAGGGAAGAGTCAGCTCCAGCGTTTCATCGTCATACTCCAGGTTCTTGTCGTCCGGCAGATCTTCATCAGACACGGCTCCCTCCTCTCCCTCCGGCCTGTCAGGATAGCTGCTCCTGACGGGAGAATCCAGACAGCTGAAACATTCCTCAAATGGAACACAAGTTCTTGTTTACTTGGGAGACTTTCTCCTGATCCGTAGCCGCGGCGGCACGAATGCTGCTAAATTCCCGCGTTGCCAGAATTACGCTGATTTGTCGGCATAGTGCATCTTCTAAAGGCAAAAACGGCTCATGACACACACACACACACACACACACACACACACACACACACACACACACACACACACACACACACACACACACACACACACACACACACCACCTTGGTGTTTAGCTTCTTTAGGGAACAAGGACTAATACCAAATATTTACCTGAAATCATAAAAGTCTGCAAACTCCAGGGAAGCGTCTCCATCTGTGAAAAGTTTGCAGTGGCTTTTGTCGATCATGTGACTCTGAACAGCTTCTGTTGAGTAAAACGAGCGCCCCTTCTCATTACACCACAGACACACGTTTCCTGCTCCGACCTTTTCACCTGCAACAAACAAACTTTTAGCTCTTGTAAAACAGAAAAATGCTGATTATGAAACAACAAAAGCACCAATCAGCCGGCAGATTGTTTATGTAAACAAAAAGGTCTGTTTGGACGAGAATAATAATCTAAATCTGGTTGAAGAACATGTGACAACAGTAATAAACATTCCATGTTTAATCCCACTTGTTGGTGTGTGGATAACAAGTAAAAAGTCTTGATTTTAATGACACCGTTTCGTCCCAGCTTACCGAGGTAACGGACAAAGCCCTTGAGGTCGACAAGGAACTCTACATCAGGGATGAAGAAGCTGTGGACGTTGGTCATGTGGGCGACGTTCTTCATCAGCGACCTGGAGTGGTGGGAGCAGAACAGGCAGTCGGTGACGGGAATGGAACCAGTCAGAGGCATCGGGTCGGACGGAGCAGGAGAGCTGCCTTCCTCCTGATCCATCGTTTCCTCCTCAGCTCCATCTTCCTCCATGTCATCATCATCATCTTCCTCCTCATCCACATCCTCCCAGTCATCTGGGGGGATTTTATGGGAACAGTCTAATAAACCCGAATAAACAGAGTCTAACAGTTACAACCAAGCTCAGCGCTTACCTTCTTCAGCTGTTGCTCCTTCCTCTCTCTCACGCCTCTTGGCTTGCTCCTCCAACCACATCATCCGCGGTGGTTTCTCCGCCTTCTGTTTCGTTACTCCCTGTGAACTCTGGACCCGCCTCTGCTTTGCCGGGCTCGACCTCTGCTCCTCTCTCAGGGCCTGCTGCAGAGCCTTGTTCCTCGCATCGTTATCCTCCTCCTCGCAGAGTCCCTTCTCCAGGTTTTTCATGTTCATCTTCTCCACTCTCCTCTGTGCCGTGAGCAGCGCCTGCTTCTCGGCCTGTTGGTGTTTGTGAGACTGAAGGTGGTTCTGGTAAGCGTTGGTGCTGGAGAACTTCTTGTTGCAGATGGAGCAGCCCTCCGTTATTGCGGCGTCAGTCAGCTGCTGCTCAGCAGCGGCCCTCTGCACCAGGACTCGCTCCTGGAAGTTTTCAGCTGTGACGGGTGGCATGTCGGCCACCTTACGCTTCAAGTTGTAACGATGCCAGTCGGTTTTGTAGTGCGCTCGCTGCAAGTCGCCATCTGCAAAGGCCACCCGACAGCTGATGCAGGTGTAGGTGGCCATGGTGACCTAAAGGTTAAACCAGATTAAACACCACTGATGATGTCACCACCCTCCATGTTTGTTTGTCCCCTCAGACGGAGCTGATCGTTATAGTTAACTATAAGAACAGCTTTAATTAAAACGTTTGTCTTAATATCTGTCAAACCGCTATTGTTATGATTTCCAACAACAAGGGAAGTCATTTCCTTTGGTGACAACACGCAGTGATGTTTCCATAAATATATGAACAGTTTATGGTTAAAGGACAACGCTCAGGGCAGATTTCAATAAGATTATCCCTTTAATCAGCGGTTTAAACAAACCTATAAGTGCAGTTTACTAGAATAAAACTATTAACATGAAAACAATCACAACACGTTCAGGAAGCCTGAGTAGCTACAGATCAGCGCTAGATGGAGGTGAAACGCTTAAGTGATGAGTGACAGAGACAGAAAGATGCTGAAATACAACAGATGTTAACCTCTGAGCTCCCCTCTTCCATGACAACAATAATTTAAAATGGGGAAAGTTTAAATGTGTAAAAAGCAGCTTTAACCCGTTTTAAACTTGTGTTTCCGCGAGCTACAGGATAACACCCGTAAACTGGTGTCACTGTAAAGCGGATCATAAAAACTTAGAAAGGACTAGACCTTGATAAGAAATAACTACCAAAGCACCACGTAAGGTTCTTTTATATCATACCCAACACATACTTACTAATTATGTAAGCTGGCTGCTTTAAAGGAAGAGTTTTAATCGATTTTATCCTTTATTAAATGCGATCGCTGCTACAGGCTACAGCACCATCACAACCGCACGAGGGCAACTTCCGGGACATGTCTTCTTCTACTGTTTTCTGGGTCGCACGACTGCCACCTACCGGACACACCTCTATAAGAAGAAGCGACACGTATCCAGTCTTGTCGTCTTTCATTAGCCGTTGACGTCATTGACATGTGACACACTTGTGATGGGGAAACAAAACAAGCATACCTTCACAATCTTTGGCTTTAAAACACACGATAACTGCAGCACTATACTAAAGACCATTGCACGCGCTGGTCAACGTCACGCCCTCGTGCGCATGCGTGTGGCCTGAAGGCAGTAGAATGTTTACTCTGAAGTCAGATTTTACCCAGGTTTGATGTCAAACCTCCTGGTATTTCAATCACATGAACTCTTTTTACTGAGATTTATATTAAATTCCTTCCACTGTGACCTTTTACTCTGCCTAACTTCTGTTGCACCTAATTCTGAGCATATTCCTGGTTTTGACATCAACACAAAGTGTTATTGAGAGAAGGAAGAAAAGGGCTGGAGTACTAGGGTAACAACTGTTCTCTGATTGAAGTACTCATGCCCTTCTTTTGGTGTTTTGTTGATGTTCCTCAGCTGTCGAGCACAGGTGGTCTGGTGTGAGACGTGCAGAGCGCCTGTTGTTATTAAATATCCTTTAAAGAACACTGTACCTTAAAATTGGCTTTATTGCTTCCTTGATTTTATCATCTCAAAAGCCTACTCTACTAACACCAAAAAGAGGATGGTGGGTGGTTGGGTCCAATTTAAAAACTCCCTTTTCTCCTCACATCACCCCATCCTCAAACAGCTCCACTGGCTTCCAGTGCAAGCCAGGATCGATGTTAAAATTCTCCTGCTCACCTTCAAGGCCATCCATAACCTCGCTCCTCATAACCTAACAGATCTCCTCCACACCTTCCCGTTTCCTCAGATCCTCCTCCTCCCTTCATCTCTCTGCCCTCCATCGCCCTCATGGGGGTACAGCCTTCTATTTCCCAAACTCTGGACCTCCCTTCCTCGTCACATCAGGAACATGAACTCACCTCTTCAAAACCACCTCTGTGAAATTTAGAGTGGCTCGTTTATTTTCTTGTTTTATGTTTTTCTTCTGTCTACTTTTGTATTTATTTCATGATTTGCGTTTTGATCCTCTACGGTAACCTTGAGTGTTTAGAAAGGTGCTTTGAAATGAAATGCATTATTATTATTATTATAACATGACCTAATCCCACCCACTGCATCCCACTGTGGAGACCATGGACAGCTCCCTCAGAGACAGACTGAGACATCCAGATGTAAAACAGAAGGCTACCGTATATTCATCCCCTCATCATTTAAAGTGTATAACTCCCCACTTTAACTGGTACTGGGACCATCACTAAGCAGCTCAGGAGGTAGAGAGGGTTGCCCAGCATTTGGAAGGCTGCAGGTTCGATTCCAGCTCCCGCCAGAGAATGCTGCTGTTGTGTCCTTGGGCAAGGCACTTAACCCATCTTGCCTGCTGCTGGTGGTCAGAGGGACCAGTGGCGCCTGTGTTCATCAGGCCCCCAGGGCAGCTGTGGCTACGTCAGAGCTCAGCGACACCAGTGTGTGAATGTGTGACTGTGTTGTGAAGTGCCTTGGGGGGGTTGTAGAACCCTTAGGTGCTATAGTCCACTTACTCTCTTACCCACTAACACCCGTGCCATAGTCAGTATGTGTTCAATGCTTGTGCACATGTACATTAGTATGCCCGTGTCCCTCATGCTGCAAAGTTCTGGAAACACAAGCTTCTATTTGTACTCCTTAATTGTTGAAGGTTTGAATAAAATCTTTACTGCCTTTGTGTGTTTACCTGAAATTTTGTTACTAATCCTTTTCTCCAAGTGTATGTGCTGCAGAGCGAGTGAATTTCCCCACTGTGGGATTATTCTGTTCTATTCTCATGGCCCTTTACTAAACTAATGGACAGCATTAGTCTATTTAAGTATGCAGATCTCTGCTGAGTCTTTGGTGAAATAAATCCAAACTCCAGCGTGCAGCGCTCAGTGAATGTGGTCTGGACTCTGTGGAGGAGGGTCATGGTTTCAGAGACGCTGTAGAAGGACAGAAGACCTGCTCTGTGGTCCAGATACATTCCTACTCTGGAGGAACCAGGAGCTGAGATAGAGGTTCTGATGTTGTTGTGGAAGAAGTTGTAATTGTTCTGGTAACAATCTATTGCCCAAGACTTGTCATTCCATCCAAATGCACACTCACTTCCTGCTCTTGTATGAGACTGCTATAAAATCTCCTCTCCCGCTCCACTCCACCTCCCAGTAGCAACAACCAGCCAGACTCTCTCGACTCAGAGCCTGACAGCATCCAGTGAACCTGTCTGAGTGAGCAGGGCTGATGTTTAGTCAACCTCGCTTTCCTGTTGCCATCGAGCAGCAACAGCTGTGTGTGCCGCCAGCATGATTTCATGTGAATATTTCAAGAATTCAGCTCTGCTCGTTGGTTCTGGTTCTGACTGTAAAACGTCCGCATACGTGATCTTCAGTGAGACGTTTGTCCAGCTGTCCCCCAGGATGTCCTGTAGCTTGTCTCTGAGCTGACACAGCTGCTGTCACATCCTCAAAGTACCTGAGAAGAGGCTACATCTTCAGGTCCAGCATAGCAGTGATCATCAGGAGCAGCTTGGAGTCCAATTTTCTTCACCTGGTCCACTCAAGCTGCTAACGTGGCATTTTTCTCCAGGACAGGCACTGGTAGGAAAATCTTCCTGCACTGAGGACAGCTGTGGACTCTTTTGTGATCTTTTTTTTCCCCCAGAAGCCTTTAATACAGTTCATGCAGTAGCTGTGTCCACAGGGAATGTTCAGGAGGTCCAAACAGATGGAGCAGCAGAAGGTTTTTCGGCCCAACTGATGTCCTTTCTGCTCCATTTCTCCTCTCAGAACAGCGACTGTGTTTCACCCACACCTCTCTCTAAACTTGACTCTCAGCAGGAGGGAACAGGGAAATATGTGGACAGACTGGAGCTGCCGTGTTCACAGGAAGCCCGGAGAGGGAGGTTCTTCGTGTTTTCTCACATTGCAGAATAATGAGCACAAGGGGATATATTTACACAGTAAATATATTTATAGTCAACACAGTTTATTTACAGTCAAGAGTCAGTCGGGTGATATTCTTCAGGTCCTTGTTTTAGAGGCCGGTCACTCTAACTGGTCCTGAAGCACCCTCACTACTATTTTATTAGGTTGTCTGACGTATTCCTCCACAGCCACAGATAAGGACACATGACTGTAATAGATAAAGGGTTTGAAATCTCATCCTTGTCAAAACCTTCTAATGACCACCAGATCACTGTTTTTTTATTAGAAGCTACACGGTGTCATGCTTCCCAGCACTAAAACCAATGCTCCCATGCTAAAGTATCTGTATACTATAAAAACATGTGTACTTGTCTGAATACCCATCCTGGTATCTGAGCTCCAGCGCTGTCCAATGCCCCGGATTACTATCTCTCCTCCTGCCAGATGTTCACCAGTAGGTAGCAAGGAAGGAAGTCTAATGGCCTAGCTTAACTAGCTACAAGAGGCATCTTTTAAATGGGAAGCACCAACGTAGCGTACACATCTGTACAGCAAACAGGAGCAGCTGCCGTCCCTCATCCACACTTTATTTCATCATCAGTTTTTATTGTTATTTTCTACAAATAATGATTATACAGAATCTCTGAATGTAATTTATTATTCAAGATAGTATCCACTAAGACAATGACCGGCTCTGATGAAACGTGATCCAAGATGTTAAGCGTTTTAGAAAAGGATGTGAAATGTGGAATTACATGAATAATCTGGCTGAATTTAGTGATGTTTGATTAGTTATCAAAATAATCCTAACCCATCCGATGCCAGTGTGCAGGTCTACCCCCGTGGTGGGTGTTATTGGAGATCCCACTGGCAAAGCCAAGTCAGATCAACACGGCGGGTTGTTTTGACTACCGAGGTATCAAAGGTGGTAGGTCCTTTGAACGGCTGGTCGGTAAGGGCGTCTGCTGGCAGCTGGTTCTGACTCGTCTGACGTTGCTGCAGGTTAAAACAAACAATGGCTGCTTGGTTCTATGTTGCTAAAAGTGTTCTATTGTGAGATCTGCTGGAGGTTATTATTTTACAGATTAAATAAATATTTCTGTAGGAAAACAGCAGAGTCACATGACTGGTGCTAAAACACCCGACAACAACGGACGTCGTGTTTTTGAAATC